CATAATGAGATGGAGGTCTAAGGCCTTGCCTACAATTAATGAAAAAAGCGCAGGCTTTATGATAATGAAAAGACATGGCAACTGGAATGATTCCCTATCATAAAGACTGTGGACTTATACACAATGACCTCTAGGCAGTTACCTTATTTATATGATAAAAGTGGTAGCCACCAGTCCACTGGGCCTGGTGATTTTGCACCTAGTGGTGGGTGTATCATCTTTGATTTCAATTATCTGGGGAGAAGTCAGTCTAAATGACACTTGGGATGGCCCTACAGTCTGTGCTAGCTCTGGGACATGTGGAACTTGGCTGCTTAAATGTAGACATTAGAACTTGAGGTGTTTCCTGTTGAATGTGAATAAACAGCTTACACCAACTCCATAGCTTCAATGAGCTGCTGAATCTTTCCCTTGGGTAATGCTTCGCCAATATGAAGGCCCTCGACACACGCCTTCACCCAATCATACATCCCATCCATCCCAAATCGACCCTGTCAAATGATTGTCGAAAGACTTTCTGGTGTTGCTCTGTAGCTGACAAACCAATTTAGTACTTGATCTAAAACTTCCCAAGGCTTGTTGTCTGGATCAATCAGTGCCACCGGATTCCCTGAAAATGCAGCTAAGTCCTCGGAATTGATCCCAATAGGTATGACGAGGGGAAGAGCATTGATAGCTGCTTTAAACCTGTTAAGTAGTGTTATGTGAGTGCTTGAGACTTCTCCGAGTGTAATCGGGTGCGGATCATTTGACAAAGGAGCAAGTCGAACAGGTCCTCGATTTGGTATGGTGGGGAAAAGATGAATGGGAGTAAGGGATGTACTGGTTGAACTGGAGGCAGTAGGTGTCACCTTCTTGGTGAAAAATGAACTGATTTTTGTGGTCAGAATGGCTGCAGCTTTGCAGACATTTGTCTTATGAGCAGTGCTATCGACGTGTTTGGTCCAGTCCTTCTCGCTGGCAAAGCTGAGTCCTAGAGTGATATTGCACTCTGGACACCATCAAGTGCTTGATGTGTCATGCTTGGATGGTTCCTATTGATAGTTATTAATGGTTGGGCAAACCCTGTAAGTGGACATACCTTTTGGGGCCTTTTTGATTTTGGCATGGCAGATAGATGGTGGTGGTATGATGAGGGTACCCATATATCTGAAAAAATAATTGAGACATGGCAGAATGGAAGTAAATGTGTATGGACTCACCCATGCAACATGCTGCAATGCCAAAGCATAGCACAAAATCTGCTTGCAGACCATTGAGCTTCCGAAAGTTAGCACAAATTGGACATTTAGCAGGAGGAGGAGGCAGGCCAAAGGTAAGCGCTCACGTTAGAATGACAATGGCAGTGTGAACACAGTTTGTTGAACTGGGCTGACCCAGCCACTGATGTCAGATGCACCAAACATGGACAAAATATGAAGCCAACAGCTCTCTGTGCCCCTATGTGGCCCCTACACTCATAAGAACTAGATAGATTGAGATACAGCAACTTTCTGGAGTCTCATAAGGTGAAATAGTCAATAATTTTTTTAAATTTAGATAAGCACCTCAACCTACCACCCCCCTCCCTACCCCATATGTCAGCAATTGCTGGTGCATACCCCTTGGAGAAATGGGATGCCAATTCCACTTGAGGGAGGTTGCACATGTGTAAACATGTGTCTACAAAAATGAATTTATGCACAGTGAGTAAAAAGCACCAGAACTCATGCACAAGAGGGGGTACATACTAACAGAGCACGCTAGGCTGGGTGCCCTTGAAGCAGGAAAACATGTTAGAAGCAAAAAAAAGCATGCTTGAAGCAAAAAAAGCACTTTATTAAAACACAAAAAGGGCGTGAACGATGATATACACTAACTGGGCAAAAAGAATGTCACATCATTTTTTGGACAAAGTTAGTTCTGTAACACAAGAACAAAACATTTTGAGAACTACACTCTGGTGTATGAAACATAGCTAAAAAGGTGTATATTGTACATACCAAGGCTGGGGATGAACAATTGAAAACTCAGGATAAGGCAGGGAATTGACTGTGACAAGTGCCAAAAATGGGATGTAACAAAGTGGGAAATTCTGAATGACTGCAACCTACTGAAAGCAATTCACAACTTGAGGAAGAGATATTATGAATGCTGGATCTCCCTGCTATTGTTATAAGCTTCATAGAGTCTCTGGGCTAGAAAATTTTATATCCTCCTCTAAAGGGTAAATTTGAACTTGTTCTCCATTTTATGTATTTTTCACTCAATATATTTGTTGGAATGAGGTAAAATGACTCCCCATCAATGTTTGTAGTGTGTATAATACAAAAGGTAGGTAGAAATGTTAAAATAAACATTGCATGATGTCTGTAGAAGCTGATTCCCAGAGTTTGTCTGGAAGTAAACAAGCATCTACAACATTGGTCCTTCTTTTCTGCAAGAAGAAAAAATGCTACCCTCCTTTTGAATTGATCCATGGAGACTCACGATGTCTTTCAAACAATGCCTAAC